GCGTAACCCTGTTTACGTCTCTGATCGATCCATTTCGCTAAGCAATTGTAGCTAGAATATTAATAGGAATGATAGAATTTTCAATGATTCTAAGCCTGATAAACTATAGAATTGCGAAGGTTTTGAGTATTTCGATAAACAGCTTGTGCACTTCTTCAGATGAACTGTGTGCACGAAAGCTAGTTTACTGTCAAAAATAAAACTAGTCTTCAAAGTACTAAACGATTTTTGAGTTTCATTTGTTATCATATCAGACTAGTACGGCACATCTATTTTTTGTTTTAATACAGTTAGAAATATTGTTTGGTTCTAATTTATTTTCATTTTCAGTCTTGTTTTCTTGTATCTCTGTATATATGTACTTTTGTCATTAAACTTACATACACGTTTCCTAGTATCTGTACATTTCTAGAGAACAGAAAATAGGCCTATATATCCACATACCTTGGTCAACACAAGCAGACCGCGATTCAGTCTCATATTCGAAGCATTTGCAAAATCTGTAATTATTCGTCCATTGAATGGACTGGGCATTCCGTGGCATTTGGAATGTAGCCCTATCTCAGTCATAATATTTACTGTAGATGCGGGTTCTGAGCTGTCATATTGCTGCTGTTGCTCCCATAGTTGCGCATCGTGGCAATGGTTCAACAAGCCTGTCGGCATTTCGTTTTTCGACAACTTTCCTATCAAGAGAATATTCAATAAAAATATTATTTAATCAAAAACCTTACTTTTGATTAAAAAAAATAATTTTGATTTTACATATTGTATAAAATATTGCGAAATGTAACAAAATTTATTAGTTTGTTACATTGATAAGAATCTACATAGTAATACAGTAGTATTATATAAAAACATTTCAATGACCTTTAATATAATCCAAATATCACTGACCACTGTGTATATAATTATTCATGCATCCAAGTGCGTTTACCAAATGTTTTTTTTAACAACTATAATGCAATTTTCATGAGACATTCTTGTAAAAATAGTTACATTATTTTAGCATTTAAGCGTTTTATTGCTACAGTATTGTTTATTTTCACATCGTCTCTGTCTATTAAATACCAGTCCAATTACTTTAAAACCATTAGTCTGACACAAAGATGGGCAGTTAGTCACTATACTTAAAGAAGCTCTTAAAAACGATTACAGTATATAAAAAAACGAGAAAAAAAAAAAAAAACATTATGTAAGAGATACAATTACACTATCTGCTCTCTCATGTTATTAAAACAACAAACCCCATAATCTTACTTGTTGTTATAAACTCGCAAAGAGCAGCTTCAGTTGTATGTTGAGGAAATCGTACTTCTGCTTCCTCCCAAGTTAGCATTTTTGTGGTCTTTAGGAATTTTCTTTTAATATCCTTTAGTAGTTTTGTATTCTGTGCATCCTGCTCGGCTTCTTTTATAGTTCGATTACCGTCTGTCACAGATGTTAAGACAGTGAAACGATCTTCATCTGACAGACCTTGCAGGTTCATGAAAAACTAATGGAACTTATGTGTAAATTGTATTTGAAAAAAAAAGTTCTTGTTATTATATATACTTTTTCTTCTAATAGGTTCCACTAGATCAAATTTTGATTGTAGACCTATTTTGTTTTCTGACTCATTTGCTTCTCAGGAATATTTACGCTATTGCATTAATAGTCTTGAGTGCTTATGTACTTACCGACTGTTTCAATTGCTTCCCTGGTTTGGTATTTTTAACTAAGCCATTACGGTACATATGGAAAAGTTCTTTAACTTTCGCATAGCAGCGGTCACTGTATAATGCCACCTGAAATGTCGGCTCCATAGACGATATTACCTGTAACAAAATAAATGATGCAGGTAATAATAATAATAATAATAATAATAATAATAATAATGATAATAATAATATCTTTAAAGAATATAATAATCTTAAAAATCACAATAATAAAATATAAAAATAACGATGATTATAATAATGAAGATGACGTTAATAATAACAATACCTTCTTCTCAAAACTACTCTTGCCAATGGCCTCGGCGCACATCCTTCTCCATGTAGACATTGTTTTACTATCAGACCCCCTTTTTTTTTTTTTTTGGCACAACGGTTTTTTCTTTGCATCATTTTCTTTCTGCTTTAGGATCTTTTGTACTTGTTTTTTCTATTCCTCATTCTCTTTTTCTTTTCTTTTCTACTTTCCTGGCCTCTTTTTCAGCTATTTCACGTTTTTTTTTCTCCTGCTTTTCAACTTTTCAAATCACCTCGCGTTGCGATCACCTATCTTCACCATAACAAAGATGGCGCCACCCTCGCTCGTGCTCAACTATAATAGTTCTCCAAAGAAAGCAAATTTTCGGTGACTGCTCAATTTCTTTATCGTAATATGTTAACAACTAATATAGTTATTATTATAGAAATTTAATTAAGTGAATGATGGTCTATTATGAATTATGCCAGTCATCTTCAGTTGAACTATATCTAGGACTTGATTCAGTCGTAGTTAAAACTTCGACTATGTTGTTTGTGAATACATTTGAAATTGAAGTTTCAACTAGCACTAAATGAAGTTCTTGTTTGAAATTCGACTAAAGTTTGTTTTAAGAATATTTTTTATTGTGTAACGTTTTATTCAAAAATTGAATACATTCTTCACAGGAAGAAAAGAGCTAAAACAACCTGATGACAAAGGATCGATCATTATTATTATTATTATTTATTTATTTATTATTTTTTTTCTCAACCCGGTGGCAGGGTAGCAATTAACGCTCTCTCCAAATTTAGAAGAGCCGAAGCGTCAAAGGAGTCAAAGTCCCCTACAACTCACTCACATTGTAGTAGGTGTTCGCGCTGGAGGTTCTCCGCGGAACCACATAATCTACACCGGCAGTCGCAGTTGAAATCAGAAACTTCTCAACTGATCGTGCCACACAATGTAAGAGACAAATTGCAGTTTTCAAAGTTGGTATTGATGGAACAATTGAGGTCGGATGCTCCCTTTCAATTTTGAAATCCAAACCTAGACGAGTTTTCAACTTTGGGTGTACATTTATCTTTGTATCCTTGTGCCTCTTTTTATAGATGCACCAACCATCAGTAGAGTTTGGGGCTAAATCACTGTCACCATCATCTAAAACTTTTTCGAGAAACATTTCATCACCTGCTAGAAAAAAGTCATGATGTGGCTTACTCCACGAAGTAGATTTATAACCCAAATTGAGCTCTAGGTTTTGCCTGGAATCAGTTTCATAAAAAACAGATATGGGAAAGATACCTTTAGGTGTTTGATATAATTTATTTAATATGCTTAAAGCTACATATGTACTGGGACGACCACCCAGCTCCCTACCATCGCCATAAATTCTCCAACTTATTTTGTTATCTAGCCAATAATAAAGAAACGTGCTAACTTCATGCAGCCTAGATGGGTCTATCTTCCATCCAGAAAACGTTCTTGTAGGCAATAAAATTGATTTGAATTCTGAAAAATAAATTGCCTTTTGAGCTCTTTCTTTTGTTCTTTCTTAAAGCTTCCACTAACCTGGTACCTGAAAGATTTTCTTCAAAATGGATCACATCTTCAACCGAAAGAGGAATACCCTGTATTTCTTGGAGCATATTGCATGCATTTCTTTTTTTTGACGATTTTGCTGAGGATAGCATGGTTTTGATGTCGTCTATGTCTAAACCTGTCTCTTATACACATCTAGATGTGTATAAGAGACAGGAATTAAAGTAGTCATTGCTTCCAGCATCTTATCTTTGTTTTCATTGGTGCAGCACTGTCTTAATTTCTGCTTTGTGGTTTCCTTCCTCATGTATTTCTTTCCTGAACCAAGTGTTTTACTGTCATTGTGTACAGCACTCCTTTTCAAAAAGCCCTGTAGAAATATATCTTTGAGATCTTTTTTTAAAGTTGTAAAGCTCTCTCTTTGATTTTTACTGTTCAGAATTTCAAGTAAAGCATTATAACTTATAAACTTCCTCTTCTTTGAATTTGGATAAAGCACAAAATGCTCTTCTCGCAAAAACCCACTATTGGCTAATTTCTTGTCAACGTAAACAAATCCCTCTTTATCTAAATGTTTTTTCAGACCGGCCAAGTTTAATATTGGTCTGCATTCTAAAAATAGCTCTCCATTAATAATAGAATACTTAATCTGCTCAGACCTTATCACTAACTCGCCACTTTGGTGTGATTGGTCACTTGAAGCAGGTCGTTTGTATAGTCCATTGTGTTGATTGGCGGGCACACCATCGGGTCCACCAGGACTTGAAGCAGGTCGACTGTACGGTCCGCTGTTTTGATTACGAAACCACCTATATACTTTACTATAGTAAAAAAATGACCAGGTCTCATTAAGAGTGAACCTGTTAAACTATAATTAAAACCTTTGATACAAATATTCTCCTCAATCGTTAATGGTGGGTGTTGTAAGTTTCTAGAATTTGTCAGTGGAACTTCCATGCAGATAAAATTTGGTAAACGTACCACTGGTGAACTATGAGTGCTGCATTTTTTCTTGCATCTCCTCCTTAAACGTCTAGCTGCAAGAGAAATCTCATTTGAGATAGCACAACTAATGTTTCCATTCGCTGCCAAATTACTGTCAAAAGACAAAATGAATTGGTGCATCTCTGAGGAGCGATTACAATTTAGGCATCTGATGGCAGATAATGTTTGACCACCTAACTCAGTTGTCATAGCAAACAGCCCTGCTATTGCTTCATCTTCACCTTTTCCTCTGGGATGGTATGCATTCCCTAAATTTGCCTCACCCTATGGTTAACGGAACGTGGTAATACGAGGACAATAGACCACTATAGCTCAAAATGAGGTCTAACGACCTCTTGTAAGGTCGTTAACGACCTAAAACGACCAATCGATCTTTTTTGGTCTTGTCACAAACACAAACCACATGTTGATTGTAAACACTGTTATCTTATTCGTATAATTAGTATCCTTGCATGTATTACGTAACACTAACTGGAACGAATATTTAACGGAGTGACCGATAAACTATCGTTGATACTTGACTATAAATTTATCGGCGACTTGCGGGAGTGTGCTGCTGCTGCTAAGCCGTATGTTCAATAAAGAGGAACAAACAGTTGCAACGATTACCGTAGGTCTACGGTAGTTCATAGTAATACACCACTTTTCATTCTACTTCGTGAATGGGACTCGCTTAGTAAATAATGTCCTTAAAAATCTAAGGAGTGGCCCAAAACAAATCAAAGTAATCAGTTGTTCATATAATATTTGAGTATTATTGGAAATCATTTAATTACCTGTGTTTTTTTCATATGGCTTAAGTTACTGTAAATATGCTGAATTATTCCCAAAACGTTTCCAAGAACAATTTCCCATGGCTCTCTTTGTAGATTCCTCTACTTTGTGTGGCAGGAATGTTATTGCCTAGATGTGTGCGTAATGCTATTCAAAGAACTGAATTGTTTTTGTGTTTGCTCAGCGGCCTAGCACAAAGCGGCGGCCTGTGTACAGTTAGATGTGCTATAGCTAGGCTACTCTGCACGTGGTAAATACTGGAGACAGAGGCGGGGATGGTGGTTGGACTGTCAACAAGCGAGAGAAAAAAAAAACACTTCTTATTGACTAATTTTGGCAATTAATGAAGGAAATGAAAGATTAATCGTTTTTTTTTTGTTTTTTTTTTTTGAAATCCGATGGGGAAATTTGTGTATCAAAAACGGAATGGTCCATTGATGTCTCAAATATAGCATAAAATACATGATCCAAGTATTGATACAATATCGTGTAGTGATTCAATATTT